TGGGTGGGTGATAGGTGTGAAGACAGGGTTCAGAGTCCTAGAGAACTGACCAACTTCGCCCATGTTGACGGCGGAGAAGGGTGGCGCATTGGGGTACTCGGCACGCATCTTGGAACGGAAATACTCTAGCTCGAAGTTCTCGTTGTGTTCGTTGATTATAGCAATCATCTTGATAATATCGGCGTAGGGGATAGATCTTTGGAATACCTCCTGAGCATACGTCGACGGCCATCTGAAATTGCCTGAAAAGTCGTGGAACGCCGACATGATGCGAGAGTTTCCCCGCTGCTCATGGAGCTTCTTGCGGATCTCTTCTGGAAGCCAAAGTTCTACATCGATGTATTCTACACCCCACTGAATCGCACGGTAGAGGTATTCGTAGTACAGTTCGGGTTTGTCCATGGGGAACCTCCCATTCTCTCTCACACACCGTGTTGTGAAGATAATGGGAAGCTCTGTCCGCTGGCGGAGGAGCATGACCTGTTCCCCAACATAGCTGAGGCTGGGGACTTCCGAATAGCTGCCATCGCCAAGTGGTTCTCTGAGTAAATCAACTCTGATCTCAACCGCATCAGCGCCCACAGTTAGGATATCGATATTAGGCAGAGCGGCGTGAACATCCGGGAAGGTGGTGGAGATGAAATAGGTTCTCGGCTTTGCCATGAGAGCATCATGGTAGTTGATCTGACCCAAAGTAAATGAGATAAATCTAGCCAGGTCGCGACGGAAGAACGGGGATTCGGTATAGAGGAATTCGTAGTCGCAATGGGTGGAAAGTTGGGTGTCAGGAGGCATCCCTAGATTCACACAGTGAGTATTTATTGCAACAACGAGATTGCGATTGCGTGCAGCAACGTCTGACTTCGCTTCGTTTGCTGCAACTCCTACGACGAAGCCAGAATCCTCCGACGAGACCTCCTCGAACCCATTCCGTGTTCTGCATGGTGTACCCAGCACCTCTGCGAAGACCGAGACGATGTGTTCTTGGCCTGGTCCATACACAATGACGACGATTCTAGAGTCTCCCTTTGCCGGTGTGCTTCCAAACGTGCTCTCGTTGACCATTACTGGACTCGAACTCGGCCGGTCGATCTGCATAGTGGTTGGTTCGGTGGCGCCATTTAAGGCAATTGAGGGCGTCGGTCCAGGAAGGTTTTCCGCTAATATCGATTGAACGGCGGCCATTTTGTATGGTTTCTCTTTTTTTCCCTTTTTGGTCGGTGCAGCAGAAACGTTCCACCTCAAGTTCCGTCTTTATTACAGCTTTGCGCTGGAACTATTCGCAGTGTCCTTCTCTACACTGAATGCACTGCCGTCCCAAGCAGGCGCCTTGAATGCGCTGGAAGATGTCTCTCTTGATAGGAGGCTCGATGATTGATTTTCGGCACTTGGTCAAGCTCGTTATCGGTTATCGGTGGGTTTCTCGTATGCGGCGCAACGTTCGACGTTGTTGTGATGAGGATTTGGGAATTAAATGGTGGAGTAGCGGCGGTTCGTGCTTCGAGTTGCTGTTGTAGTTCAAATTCCAGGTCTGCTTAGACAAAGTATTAGGAAATTCTATGTGAATTATTAGAATTGAGTCGCAAAAAGTTGGCTCTCTATGATGGTCGACAATGCTGAGTAGGGAATTGTAGAGGGTTAAAGAAGTGAGTGCGGACCCTTTGTTGTGGGGATGATTTCCCGAGTATGGGGTAAAGTTTGAGGTTTGATGAGGGAAGAGAAAGAGGAAGGTAAAAAGGATGGTAGGACTGTTTTTGAGTTTTCGGGGGTACTTGCTCACCTATGAATGAAGGCGACTAACTTAGTAGGAAATCAGAGCAAGAATTATATGTCCCGGGGCTATAAGGCGCAGTGCAGGCAAGGCAGTAATAGCATGATGGGAGGGACGGACGGAGGTTGATGAGGGAAGTGATGCAAAGACTAATAAGACTAGGCCAAGACCCAGAGTATGTATGTATGTATGTATGTATGTATGTATGTATGTAAAGTCGCTAGCGAGTGCCAAGCGATGAATATTTGACCGATGGGATGGTGTTTGAGCCGACTCAGATGGTCGAAGCGAAACAAGGGACGTACTCTGTAGTCTGTACAATAGGCGGGATTCGATCCCTGACGATACCTGATGGAGCTGACGGACAAGGAAGGGCAGTGGATTGTCCCCGGTGGAGACGAAACGAAGCGAACGAGGCTTGGGAAGATGGAGACAGAGAAGACGGGATGGAGATGAGCAATGGATACTGAAGAAAAGCGTCGGTGCCGAAGACTGGTTATGGGCCAGGATTAGACCGTTATCGTTGGTGGAAGGGAGGCAATCAAGTCAAGCGGCGTGGGCGAGGTGATATTTTCCACCACCAGGCGACCGAGGAGACGCCCGTCTTGAGCTTGTCAACCGCTGCGTTGGAACATGGAGTAAAAAGTCTATCTGGGGCTGCATAATATCTACATATGTATGTATATCTATCTATCTATCTATCTTATCTATTGGTACTAGGTAGTCATGTCGTCTGCGATATCGCTAGGTATGGATGGATGGTATGGTATGGAGAGGATACTCTGAGATTGTTTCTCATAATAATGCTATATGTTATGATATTATCCGTACCTGCGTACGTATACTCATCGTGACTAATGCCAGGATGATCAACTATGGTTCCAATATATCCGTCGTGGGGGTTGGATTTGGGGTTGACCTAACCTACCTATCTAATTAGTTAGCTGTTTCGGTCAACACATCTTTTTCCCGATCAAACCATAACTAGAAACTCTTTCCCTTAGCAGATCGTCACTCGCAATCTTCCTGATGCCATGCAATATAGCAGCAGCATGATAACTATGACATGCCATTGAATTATGTATGACCTCGCTAGCGGCCGACCCTTGGCCCACGGGGACCAACACTAGAGAGAGAAGATGCATTTGCAGTGGACGGATTATTTGGGGGTACCAGGTCCATGAACGGCGTCTTGCCTTTTCTTACGATACCTTGATACTTTACAGCAAAATTCCTCAAAGGAATAAGAAAAAAGCGCCACAAAGAGATGTCCTGTAGTTCAATGGGGGTGGGGGCCCCGTCCCCATGGAAGGGTCGAAGCTTTTGGATTTATAATTCTCCATAGCCTCTGATAGATGGAGTTTCCTGAACTACAATTATCCTCCAATCAGATCTGGCAAGTCTCCGCATAATTGCTCTAGTTAAGGTGTCGGTCCGCGTTTGTTTCGAGTGGCTCCAACTTCACTTCTGTCCTTGCCCTGGCTCTTGTTCTATGTTTCAAAGCCCATGCGTTACCATCAGCATGATAATGCCATCCATCTTCCATGACCATCGGGACAGGTTGCATTCGGCGCAACGTTTATTATCTCAGGGGCTTATGACTTAGTAGTTGATATTGCTGCTACATATATATGTATGTCCATGTGGTCTCAGGACGAGCATTAACCTAATATCCAACCCCAGCACCGCCCACTTTGTTTCTTAACCTGGCGTGATATTATCTTACTACTACACGGGATCTTCGTTTCGCTACAGAATATGTTTCGGTGGTAATCATTGGGCGAGTACGCATCAGATGGACGGATATCGTCTCGCCGTTCTCCCGGTGCTACGCTGCGTTAGTCTTGAGTGGCTCACGACTATCTTGTTCAGTGGAGATCCCATGCCATGCATGTCTCTCGACTCCTCGTCTAAGTCGCGGCAGAGCTTCACGGGACGGAACACCAACGGAAAAGTTACAAAGGCTCGAGAGACGTTACGTGTTCGTCTCGTAAGCAATCTCCGCGAGACTTGATACTACGTCGTCGTCACGGGAGTCGGCAGTCTGTAGTTGATTCTGCGGTCGTATTTCCTAAATGTCGCTTGGACATGCTCCAAGTAGATGGATTCTTCCCAATCTGGTCAATGTGCCGGATATGCAAGCACAGAAGCGGTTTTCCGTCTATACAGTACTGTACATGCCAACAGCTGCCCAATGGGTCACCTCTGCAGGATGCATGCAATGCCATTGAGAAAGTCAATCTTGATCTGCCGCCGTTGATGAACGGTATTTCAGCGTCGTATCGTATATGTTTCTCGGCTGTTCTGTGACAAAACATTGATTGGTTCGATACTTACCTACTCACTCAGACTCTGATACATAATACTTTCTTCTCCAGCTATAACGATCTCAGTATCGGAACTCTAAGTTTCCGGGGGCGCGTCTGTTACAGATACATTACTTGACGTGAAATCCTTACCCCGTCGTGTTTCGTCAAATTCCTGACGTCTCCGACCCCATATAATCGGCCCAGGCTGAAGCATGGTCCCTTACAAACGGCTTATCCAGCCAGTTAGTCCACGAATGAGACTGGGCCAAATTCTACACATCTATCTTGGCGAGGAATCACCACAGGCTCCAGAGCTCGCTTCTCAAGTTCTCTGCATGTCGATTTTTTTTTACGACCAACAAGCTTGTTAATTGGCGTCTGATACGACTCATGCGAGCTCGTGTCAGTATGTTCCGTCCAATAATTCATATACCAGTGACAAACAAGACTTGGCTCTGCTTGGCGTCCGTTAAGCTTTGTCTTTTAAGTTTTGCCGGGCGAGTCTACGTTTTTGTGTGATATTTTCCACCGTTCGGATATTTTGGATAATATTCTGGATTGAATCGTGATCATGGATTTGAGGTAAACTTTTGAGAATTGCATACATATGTACATACATACATTAGTACATCAACTCTCAGAAGCAACCTTAGTAACTTGAGCAGAATTGCATCATATCTTGCTCGAGATAAGCAGGTACCGAGTGACAAATGTCAACCTTATCTTCCGTTCCCGGGCACGCTCGCTCACTTGTCATTTCTGAGACCAGAGACCGATCATGTTACCTTCGGTATCAACCAGCCGAGCAAAATACCCCATCCCTCCTCCAATGGCCGTCTTTGGACTTGGCGACGGTTAATATGGATGGATGCTCACTCAACTCGCTTCAAGCTTTCCACCTCGTGATGGAGCGGGCGCACTTACATAACGGTCTTACCACCAATCGTACTCGCCTTTGCCAGGGTCTCTTCGCAATCCAGTACGCATAGGGTTGGCAAAACGGGCAGAGCACCTGGTTTGTCGGGATTGTTGTTGATGACATGATATTCCTCATCATGTTCCATAAATGCCCCGTGGAGGGTCTTGCCCTTGTTAAAGAAGTGCATACTCTTGACGCAGTCGCCGACGGCCTTTTGAGGCTCAGGTACAAACTCCCAGCCAAAGAGTTCCGTGTACCAGGCTTTGGCCCGAGGGACATCACGCACTGGAACCTCGAGCCAGCAAATTTGGCCGAGTGCTTCCTTGATTGAGGTCAGCTTGGCGTGCTGTATGTTAATGTCGATACTGTGTACCTGGACGAGGTGTTCTTCACACATTGTGGGTGGCCGTGTTTTGAATTGGTATTGGTATATGACTCTGGTATAAGTTGAATGGTCTTCTATCCGAGGAGCGATTGCTGCAGCACTCAAATATATATACCTCGGGGTCCTGATTACCTCCATTCTTGACAATCCCCTTGATTTACTCCCAACTAGACTACCTATCTCGATCAATTGACTAAATTCCGTCAGAGGCGGTTGCTGCCTGATCATGGCTTGTCTTGGAGCCAATGGTTATCCCCTTGGCTGAGACTAAGGCACATGACCTGGCGTTCAGCTCGCGCCAAGATACCACGATGCAACGCGTGCCCAGTCGGGTCGATTAGGCAGTGAACTCTCGTTTTTACGCGGGGCTGATTTCTCGGAGTTGAGAAACTGTCAAGTGGTGGAGTATGACGGACAAATTGTCAGGGAATTTGTTGAGCTGAACAACATGGGTAGTACCAGTGTCATGAAATGATATCCTCTTGAACAAACCGCTGGTTGTAACTTATTAAGGAAGTAAGTTGTGGATTGCATCGCAGCGGATGGATGGATCTTTTATTGGCAGCCCGATAATACCATGGAAAGTTATAGCGGATAAATCAGTGAGCCCGTTGACAGTCCAGACGGTCTGGACGCCATCCATGTATATAGTTCTCAATCCATGTGGTTTGGTTTATGTGTTGGTCATTTGAACTTCCATACCATACAGAGAACCGTCACAGACAACACCATGAATATCTAGATGCAGTCAACTTGACAGAGAAATGCACGGGGTTTATAATATCACCACAGTTCATTAACATGGATACCAACATCAGCAAATAATTGTCCTTGAATATAACTACCTACCTAGTACTTGCGTCAACGTATTTCATATGCATTCTCTGCAGGGTAGGGTCCATCAGAGGATCACTCATGCTAGGCGAAGCGCAAACATGTGATAGCCTAAAGGCTTGAAGTTGTCCCAACGCTTAGCTTTTGTATGTGTAAGTCCCAAAGTCCAAAGAAGCAGATGATGGGTATGGGCCCTCAGTAACTTAGGTTGTGATTGCGCATAGAGTTGAGTATCCTGTCCATCCATTAATTAATAACATCTCACTGAAAACAGTTGAAGGAGCTTATATGGAGCTCAGCTCATCTCATCAGCTCATACGTACGGGCTAACAAAAGGAGCTCCAAGCTTCTCAGGTCCCCCACCAACGCCATAGTCAGCCAATCGAACGCGCCTAAATCCATCCCTCAGCACGATGGCGCGTCATAAGCTATGGAGGCTAGGGCACCTGTACCATAAGGTAGGTAGGTTGAGTTGCGCCTAGGTACATTCCCAGTCGCATCACCTGGTCGCCTTTACCGTTGCTGGGTCGTCTTCTCTTTTTTTGACTGTCGCAAACCTCCACCCGAGTTTAACTTTCAATCATTTCATCTCCCAACAACCACAAATATCCATCTACCATCTATCAAGTTCCGAAGTCGCCTTCGCTATTCCTCCCTTAACCCAATTGACTTCATCTTTTTATCTGACACGCATTCAGACCTGATCCGCAATGTCTGAAGCTACAGAGCAAACTGCGCCTGTCGTGGACGAGACGGCCAAGGCCATCGAAGAGCCCCAAGTTTCCCCTGAGAAGCCGGCTGAGGAGAACCCAGCCGAAGAGACCGCGACCCCATCCGTTGATACTCTCGGACCCTCCGATGCCCAGAAAGCTGCAGACCAAGCAGAGTCCACTACCATCACTCCCCTCGTCGGCACACCCAGCGTTGGCACACCCAACACCGACTACCTCATCGCGAACGATCAAGACCCCAACTCTAAAAAGGTCACAATTGCCGACCTGTCAGCAAAGGGATCTGCCCTCTATGCCCACAAGAACTACGAGGAGGCCGCTGAGGTCTTCTCACGTGCCAGTGTTCTTCAAGCCGAAGTCAACGGCGAGACGTCACCTGATAATGCCGAGATCCTTTTTCACTATGGCCGCAGCTTGTTTAGAGTTGGCCAAAGCAAGAGCGATGTTCTAGGAGGCCCTGCAGCTTCTGAGAAGAAGAAGAGCGCAGAGGCCAAGTCCAAGAAGCCTGCGCAGACCGAGGCACAGAAGGTGACGCAAGAAGGTGTCGGGATTGTTGCCGAGCAGGGAGAGAAGAAGACTGAGGACATCAAGGGAGATAAGAAGCCCCTGTTCCAGTTTACTGGCGACGAGAACTTTGACGAGTCAGACGAGGAAGAGGTATGAAGCTCCACTGAACCATAATTTAGTGGCAGATACTGACTTGTACAAGGCCGAGGGCGAAGGTGAAGAAGAGGAAGACGATGATGACCTGGCTACTGCTTTTGAGATCCTCGACCTTGCCCGAGTCTGCTTCGTGAAGAAACTCGAGCTTCTGGAACAGGAGGAATCCGAGACCAGCGGCAAAGGCAAGGAGGCTGCAGAGGGCGATTCGCCTACCGTCCGGCACGTGAAAGAGCGTCTTGCAGACACTCACGATGCCCTCGCTGAGATTTCTCTCGAGAATGAACGGTACGCGCAAGCCCCCCCCCCCCGATTTTTCAGCTTTGTCCTAACCACAACACTCATATAGATATCCTAATGCCATTGAAGACGGAAGAACCTCGCTCAAATATAAGCTGGAGCTGTACCCTGAGGAGTCAGAGGTCATTGCTGAAGCTCACTTCAAGCTTTCACTGGCGCTGGAATTCGCTTCTGTGACAACTGCTGGTGACGATGGCGCAAATTCCAAGCGAGAGGAGATGGACCAAGGCCTGAGAGATGAAGCCGTCAAGGAAATGGAGCTGGCCATCAAGAGCTCAAAGCTCAAGCTACAGAATAAGGAGGTCGAGCTGGCCACTATGGCCTCCCCTGAGGATAATGAGCTGGCACGCAAATCCATCCAGGAGATGAAGGAAGTCATTGGGGACATGGAGCAACGAGTGAGTCTTTGTGCCTCCTAGCCCCTTTGGGACGTTTTTGAATTATTTTGCTGACTGCCTAGCTCGTCGAACTGCGCAATGACCCCATTGACGCCAAGGACATTCTGGGTGCTGATGCTGGACCCATCGGCGGCATTCTTGGAGCTGCTCTTGGCGAGTCTGCTGCCGAGACCAAGGCCCGTGTTGATGAGGCTAAGAAGACAGCAACTGATCTTAGTGGACTTGTCCGCAAGAAGAACAAAGACGAATCTGCCGAGGAACCTGAAGCGGCACGCGCGCCTGAAGCGGAGACCAACGGCAAGCGAAAGGCAGAAGAGCCCGCTGAAGATGCCGAGACCAAGAAGGCCAAGGTGGAAGCTTAGGGTCGAGGTCAATGGTATTAATTGGCTACCATTTCAGCGGGAAAAATAACTCAGGATGGAGTTCAGGGCATTGTCACATTGCGACGGAGGGAAAGGAACGGGACAAAAAGGATGGGAATTTTGAAGCAGCCAAATGTTACTCTGAGTATGTGGCAAAATGTAAACTTACAGCTCTTTGATGTACGATTAGTTACGCGGGACGCTCGGCACAATGGACGGATTCAACAGGAAAGGTGTGAGCATAACTCATGAGTGAAGACGAGTACAAAGCTTGATCTTTTATGCATTAACCAAGTCACTCAAACAGGAATCCACTGTGGACATATGAAACCTATGCAACCAACATGAAAATGCGTTCTTATGAAGAATCGCTCGCGAGCCATGCAAACACCCCATCGTTACTTTTGAAACCCCGAACCAAACTGCAAAAAGGAATAATGCCCCTTGACCATCTACTACAACTTGAAATTGCCGCTCGAAGCAACCTTGGCAGTCTTTGCCTTCTTGCCATCGACGTCGGTGATCTCTCCCTTGCGGTTGATGACCTTGACGCCTCCCTTCTTTAGCTCGGCGATGGTGTCGCGCTGCATCTTGGCTCTCTTGCTGACAACCTTCTCGCCGTCGACGCCTCCAGCCTTGCGCACGCGCTCTTTCTCGCGACGGCGCCGGCGGGCCTTGTCCTCGCGGGACATCTCCTGGCGGGCGACAGGAAGACCGGCCTTGGTGACGACTTCGCCGTGGGCTGCGTTGCCCGTGGCTCCAGCCTTGTAAACTTCTTGAGGAGCCATGCGACTGCTCTCGCCCGTGACGCCCTGGGCTGTTGTGGGTTGGGCATCCTCCATTGCGACAGTGGCAACGTCCGCAACGACGGATAGTGAGGGTGCTGTGGGCTTGGGTTTGTAGTGCCATGAGCTGAGGGCGTCCAGACGAGCGCTGACATCCTTCCACATCGCCTCAACCTCCTTCTCCTCGCGCTGAAGCTTCTCGTCTGATTGGCTGACATAAGTGTCTGGGTTTATATTCTTGACGTGCTCTTCCTCGTACATCTCGGCCAGACCCTTTGTTGCCTTGGTATCATCGAGTTCGACGAGCCCACGACGAGTACCTGCGGCTGCACCTTCGGTATCCGGACGTCGGCGAATGACCTCGTCGAACTCTTGAGCGAGAATACGACGCTTGATGAGGTCCTCAATGCTTTCACTGACCTCAGGAGTGATGACAGGCACGGGCTTGCCAACATGCTCGAAATCGAGATCCTGCTCGAGTAAAGAGTTTACAGGGCGGTCAACTGCAGCAGCTTCACCAGAGAGAGTCCACTCACGCTTGGCAACGGATGCAGCCTCAAGCTTGCGGATCTCTTCGGCGAGCTTGGCCTGTCTCCGCTCGTGTGCTGAGCGTCTTGACTTGGGATCTCCAGCGGAAACATCGGAGAGGGCATCGTCTGAGTCCTCCTGTTCTGACTCGTCGTCAAAGAGATCTCTGCGAACATCGGCCATGGCTCTTTCAACGTCGGCATCGTTTGGCTGCTCGGGCTGGAACTTGACAGACTTTTTGGGCTTACCGCCATTCGACTTTCGACGTGGCGGAGCAAAGAAGTCCTTATAGTAGACATCATTGGCATTGAGACCGTTGTCGTCGTCATCCACAGGCTCATCCATATCCATGGCCTCATCCTCACTGTCGCCTTCTGGGGCATCGAGAGCCATGTCGCCAAATGTAGGGCCGTCCTCCTCATCGTCGTCATCTTCATCTTCAGAGACTGGCTGTTTAGCAGCCTTCTTAGATTTTGAACCTGTTGTAGGGGGAGCCAAAGGATCCGCGTCCCAGTTGATCTCCTCATCGTCGCTAGCTTGATCCGTGTAGGGATCTCCCTTTGCGTCCTGCTCTTCGAAATATTGTGATTGTCGGTTGAAATCGTCGAGTGAGAAGAAACCATCGTTGAGACCGTCGGGATCCTCCTCATACTCTTCAACCGGTCCATCCACTCCCTCGTCTTCCTCATCATCTTCCTGATAATCGTCTCTGCCTTCTTCAATCTCCTCTTCATCATTTTCCCAGTCGTCATCTTGGCCATCTTCTTGAGCTTCGTCCACTGATAATTGTTCCTCGTCGTCGTCGGACCCATCCTGATCGCTCTCGTCCTCATCGGCGGAGTCTACCTCGAAGCCATCCTCTCCAAACTCGAGCGTCTTGGAGTCTGATGCGTCAGCGCCGTTGACGGCAATCTCCTTGCGCTCCTCCAAATCTGCCAGCGCCTCTTCTGAATATTTCAAGACACCGCCAATAATTCTCTTGGCCTGTTGCCAAACCTGGCCGGTCTCGAACCCATCGATATAGACCTTGCGCATTTTGAGGACATCCTCGCTATTTGCAGCACCTCTCTTGCGCTTGCGATTTTCCTTTAACCTCTCCTGCTGCTCATCGCCGACTTGCGAGGCGAAACCTTCGAGGGTGTGCTTGACAAGATTGAGAGAATCGGTTGGGATGGAAGCTGTGGGTTGAAGAAAAGCGTGTCGCTTGCCCTCGGCCAGGCTTTCTAACAGGGCCAAGACGTGGCTATTTGTGAGAGAATCGGGGGCAGCCATTGCGGGCGGCGCGGCAGTCAAGGTATGTGAGGTTGAAGTGAGCGATGGCGACGTCTGGACGGCCATGCTCTGGAGTTTTTATCGGAAGCAGAGCTAATTTGCACTGCTTTGTTACCGCGGCGATAAATGGTACATAAGAGCCGTCGTGTTGCATGCGATTGCCGTTGCGTGAGATGACTTTGTTAAGTCGAAGCTGAAGACGACTCGAGATGAAGCGAAAGTGGTTGACGGCAGGAAAAAATTTGGGAGACTTGGGTGAGGCCCCGCGACGGGTGGAATCTGGATGATTTGATTGGCCAATCAGCCCATGTCAAGAATCGCGATAAGAGAGATAAGGCACGGGCCGTTTGATCGATTCTGAGGATCATAGGCACTGCTAGCAAGGAAAGGACATGTTCATCATCTACTATATAATATCAAACGGTTGCTTTGCTAGTATTGGCACAAGAATATCCGTAACTAAAACGATACGTTATCCCACCTCGAATACGTACAATAGAGCAGATGCCTACTCGGTTTAAAGACACATGCGGATACGGTGACCTCAAGAGTGCATGCTGCTGTATTGACAGCATCGAGCTTCTTTGTTGCTGAGGCTGGAAAATGTAGACCACACCCTCACCTTGAGTATACATAACTTTTGTCATGCATCTCAGATGCCTCAACAGTGATCAGTTCCAAAACTGGAACCATTCAGAGTCCACAGCCATCTGCATACTCGCGAAAGGTCAAGCCCGGTCTCAAAATACTCACGTTGTGATTAACCTGTACAAGGGCAGTTCTGTATAGCTCCTTTTGCTACTCGGTAGAGGATCTAGAGACTAGGCCAGCGTGAAACGTTCGTGAGAAATGAGAGTAGTATCCATGGCAATCGACTACGTCTGTGTCTAGAGGTACGAGGTCGTTCTTCTGGATGACATAACTCGCTGACTCCTGGAACCAAGGCCTTGTTCGTGGGATAGTGCTAAGGAGTCGGGTCTCGATATAGTCTCTATTGAGTTCAATTACAGATTTGTGCATGACTGATCAGAGTTGGTTCTCCATAAGACCTGGCGCGATTGAATCGCGTGGTTTGCCTACAGTGACCTCTGTTGCGCGAAGAGATGCGACAATGCATTTGACCTCCTCAGGCGATTTGATAGTCCTTGCCATCTCTATGGCTCGTTGAGCAACCACAATGTTGAGGCCGAGTTCCTTGAGGGCCATAGCAACGTTTGCATTTATACGCTCCAGACCAACTGTGGCACTCCGTTTCCCAACAATACTCTCGATCATATCAACCATCTCTTGTGCCCATTTCCTCTCCCTATAGTGGATCTTGGGGCCGCTGCTCGTAAACGTGACAGACTTTGCTGTGCGGACTTCATCGACAGTCTCGTGGCCCTGGGCCAAGTGAGTGAGGAGACAGCCCGTAAACTCGAACATGATGGATCGAGTGGCCATAAGGAAAAGATACCGTGTGGGAGGGTTCCGTGCTATGAAGACTTGCAGGTTCCGAGTACCAGTCACATAATGGATGTTGACTCGATCACTGATGATGGCAGCTTCGAGGCCATATTTGACCATCTGGTTTCCTGTACGGTCAAGACTATAAACGAACTGCCTTGAGATTCATCTCCCCATTCTCACGGGGCTCGATCTAAGAGAGCCAGATCAGCTCTCTCAGCATGCCAGTCAAAGTTTGCCACCGTTGTATTCGAGACCTAGGAAGCTATTCTCGTGCCCTGCCCTCTCCCCTCGAGCTAGCCTTATAGGCAACACCATCCTCGCAGAGAAGAGGGGTTCGTATTCACAATCCGACCCCAAAGCAAGCACATGTGCTACCCAAGACTGTATTGTGACTCCTGTAACTTTCTTTCAGATTGGAGCTTGTTCCATCAAGACACGCTGACTTGGCCTGTTGGTGGTAGAACTAGATATGGTTCCTCCTCACTGTCACCATTCATCACCGAGGCCACACAAGTACATCTGATAGCCTTTCACCCCTTCAGTCTACACATTGAAGTTGCGTAGAACTAATTGAAAGCATATGGTGGCATAAATTCTTTCTGAGAGAACCCGGAAACCAAGTATTAGTCATGGCTCAACCACGTTAACCTCTGACGGATACAATATGCTAATGTAGTAGCTACGGGTTGCTTTCTCGAAGCCAACTCCCAGTCTCTCTCACGCTTAGCCGGTCCTTATTTCCAAATACACATCAGAGAGTAACGACCCTTTGTGAACCCTCGAGGTCACCCCGGAAGTGACAAAGACAAGATACAAATATCGTACCAAGAGCCACCTACCAGAAGTTCTTCGCCACCAAAATCAAAATCAAACAAAGAACCAACCACGAACTTAAACATATGCCGCCGAGAAGTCAAGTGGCATACTGTCCATGGATCAAATTCGTGGGATGCTAAAGTGTTTGAATGGCCGGATGATTTCAAAGTTCCATGAGTGATGGTAGGGGCGGATACAGAAATCAGGATATATTTGAATATCACTAGCATATACGTAAGACACACCCGGTACCGTGCTCAAAGATAAAGTCATGCCAATGACAGTTCAAGCCAGATTTGAATGCTTGCCCGTGTTTGCGTACCGAATGAATCCTAGGTGTATAAAGCTGTTTGCATCATGCAAATACACATGCATCTTCTTACACATAGACTTGCTCTCGCCTAAACTCGAGATCGAGGAAACCATGATCACCTGTGACTAGGATATTTATCCAGGGCTCATGAATGAAGCCATGAGGAGTTTAAAATCATGAATTCGCAGTATCGTGTCAAAGCAATTACCAGCCTGACTAGCCCATGGCATGTATCCCTCAACCTATCATGTACATCATCACCATAAAACCAGGTCGTTACTCTCACCCGAATTCCCATGCCGCCAGCGCCAACTATCATCCCATGCCATTCCCAAATGAGGACACCGAGCCACGATTTCTCATCATAAATCCAGGCATAGCCGTGTCAGGCGGTATTCCAATCAAAAGCAGCCAAAGCCGAACCCAGGTTAAAGGATATAGAATAACAGTGCTCGAAAAAGAAAGGAGAGAGATAGAGGAGTAAAAAAAAAAAAAAGATGCAATAATTAGAACAGAGAAGCCTGCAATCATCTCCAGGAAATAGCAGGTTAAACAAGCAGACCCCGAAAACGCCCTCATGTCGCGGAATTCCAGCCGCTCTCACCGACCAGAAGCCTAACCGGGCCTCACACTTTCATACTAAGCAAATGGCACGTCAAAAGAAAAGAGCATAAGGCAAGAATGCTCGGAAAATGCAAAAAAAGTGAAGCAAAAGTCGTGTGCTATTTAGCTTCGTTCGTCTCGATTTGTTGGTATCGAGCAACCCTGGTCGAGATTAGGACAGTGCTGAATGTTGAAATAATGCAGCAAATGATGATTTTAGAGAAATGCGGCTGATGCTCGGTTTCGAACCGAAGAGGCCGTTTCTTGAAGAACCGATCTATCATGACGATTTGGATCGAATCGACCCTAGATCTCCATACGACCCGCGACATCATCGCTCATGGACCTGTCAGGACTGCTATCGAGCATATCCATATCCTCGATATCTTCGTCGAAGTCTTCATCTGAATAGGCAACGAGATCTCCGTTCTCTCCGCGATTCCAGAAAAGACCGTCGTCATTGAGCTCCTCGTCATCCTCATTATATGGCACTAACTCAGCATCTTGATCACCAAGCCAGTAGTTGGCGCGTTTCTGCGCGCCAGCTGATTCCAGATCCCGTTGGTTGCTGTGGTTCCTGGCCAGATTTGTGGGTCGGAGAGTTGGGCTATGAGACGAGATAACTGGCACAACGCGGACGTAAAGATATGCCACTCTTTTCAAGGTGCGGTTGAAGAAGAAGTAGTGTGAAGCCCAGATCGCACTCTCGTCTTCCTCAAAAGGGTCGCTCTCGGGGTTGTAGCTGAAAATAGTACACTCGTTGAGGTGCATCTCCTTGTCGATCAATGACCAGCATTGGGGGCCCCATATCGAGGTTGTCTCACTGCCTAGCGAGGAGCCGAGGGATTTGGGTTCGAAGTTAGGTCTTACGTTCTGAAGAATTGAATCGAGGTTGACCATAACGCGACGCAGGTTTCTCTCGCGTTTGAAATCGTTGGGTCGAAGGACATGAGAGAAATCGTAGTGTGGGTGACTCGCATTCAGTGTCGCGATAAGGTATGCAAATGTCTTGCGACTCGAGAGCTCGGACAAGGGGCCGAAAGCACTTGAGTGTGAAAATAGCTGCATGCTCGGTGATGTAGCAAGCATGTGAGCGCGCTCAGGTGGTGATAGGCTGGCGCCGAGCTTGAGCAGGGCTTCGTGTTGCGAGTTTAGATCGTTGTCGATGTTTTTGTAGAGCTTCTTGTCGGAACCTGTTGATTTCGTCGTGTAGAGATCGCACCCGCCTGTCACGCTACAGTCGGGTGTGTTGAAGTTCAGCGCGCTCGTCACCGCTTCGAAGTCTTGTACTGGTAGATACTGCATGTGCGCGTTAGCATGTGTCGGACGAGGGGTTCCTCCGTGGGGTCCCGGGGCTGCTGACCTTCATCTTGAAAGCGGAAGAGCACTTTGAGGTCGATTCTGTGGTGGGAATGTCGCGGTGTTGATGCGCTGGACCGTAAATGCGTGATGCGACTGACTGGTTGAGGGAGCAGTCAAGGGAACAGATTGCGTCAGCGTGGAGTCGCGGTGGGCCGGAGTCGGAAGGTGACAGTTGTCGCGATATGGAAAAGATGGCGGTAAGCGTACGATGGCGGATGTCATAAAACACGATGTCGAAATCGGTTGCGACAATCGATAATGCGGCGATATGGGGTATTGATGATTGAGGAGAAAGAGGGGGACAATATTGTGAGGGTGAGGATGATTGAAAGTGGGCGGAAGGAAGTCGGGAATTAACGATCGCCGGAGTCAGGAGCAGGTACAGTTCGGGAGGGGCGAGGTCAGGAACTTATTGAATCGCCCTGGACAGTAATCGGCGGCAGATTCGTTGCTGTAACGTTGAGAGATACAGTGCAGCCAGCAAGGACCCTGAGGATCTAAAAGACCGGAGATAAAAAAGAGATTGGTTGGCGATGACGGCAGATAATAGGCACTGATCAAGATTGGACAGGAGATTGCCGAGAACCTGGTCGATTCAATTGATGATGAAAGGGGGAGATTTTGGATAGAGATAAGCAAGTAACAGGGTTGAGGTTGAGGTTGAGTTGGTTGATACATCCATGTGAATAAGCAATAAGCAAAAAGATAAGGTAGGAACCTGGTTAGTTTATGAGACCAAGGAAACGGAAACACAGGATGACTGATTGAGGGGCCGCAATTGAAAGGATGGATATGGATGGATAGGTAGGTAGGCTTTGGGTTAATGGAATTGGCCGGCTTCGGGATAGAATGGTTGGAGTAGAATGGGATGGCCTGTTGGGCTGTCTGAGGTCAGTCAGCGGATGAACGGTAACTCTGTCTCTCGCTTGCATTGCGTTCTCGTCAAACAAAGACATTTGAGTCCACTCAAATCTGGTGTGATCCTTTGCTGCAGTCAGCCACGGGATCTCAAAATCAGTCACTTTTGCTGAGAGCTGAGTTGAGCTGGCGTGAGCTTGGACCGGTTCCGGCCCTGGTCCGGCCAATGTTGAAGAATTCCGGGGATCGCGCCAGTTCTCGGTACAGCCAGTTAAACCATGGATATCAACGGGAGCCAAGAGACCCCCAGCAAGCCTCATGCTTCATCCTTTGGCTCTCATCAGACAAACCTCACGGACTCTGTTTTGATCAGCTCTTCAGTGTCAACTTACAATCCAATCGTTTTGCACATGCCCTTAATTACGATCTGTTGTTCGAAGACCCGAATGTCTAAGTTTGGCGTATCGTAATAAGGGGAATGCTCTCACGGCAACTCCACGCGATTGATCAGCGATAGCGAATGGGGCTGAACTCCGAAACCACGCGCTTCAGTCGACCGCTATGATGAAATAGCCCATGCTCTCTCATGGATGGACTAGGCCCATCTGCAGTCACCGTCTAACGTCAGTTGGAAATTGGAGAAACAGGAAATAAGAAATAGAAACAAGCATATGAGGTCAATCGTTTTCTCTTGATTCCAGTTGTGGGCCGAGGTGTTGCGACTGAGCAGTGCGGTTGATTTTGGCTTCGCGAAGCACAGGAGGTGGTGACCCAACGTGCCAGGCTGACCATTTTCAGTGGGACACAGCCTCTGATGACAATCATTGCTGTTGTTCAAGGGTCGCTCTCCTCTCAATGTTGCGTCGACGTTATGACGGGTCGAAGACGGGAGACAATCTCTCTGCGCTGCCCGTCATAGCTGTCGCAACACCATCGCCCACAGGCCTCATCTCTTGATACGAAAGAAGGTGGTTTACCACCGTCAAAGATCTACAAACAAGACCAACACGGTCGGAGACTCCCAAAACACCATCTGCGCCTATTCCCACGATGTAAACATGCGTGTCCTCTCTTCCCATCGAAGAGATGCCCAGCCGCCTGAGACTTTCCCATTACAGAATTCCTGACTCCTTGAGCGACGCCAATACTTGTTCGTCGGCCTGTTGAACCAAAGTTAATTCTCGGCCAGTGAATATACTGCAACTCGCATGGAAACGCTTGGTAGGTATTGGTCGATCGCCTCAATCCGACGCTTCGGGAGCGGTGTCGAATTGATGTTGGGTAGCAATTAAAAGGCCGTCAAGGAGGTTTACATGATCTTTGTAACTTCGTCCTCGACCTTGTTGGAGG